TGACGCATTATGTACTTACCTTGCATTATGTATTTACCTTGCGGCATAACATAGATTAAAATCGTAATAATTGTATCGATCAGTTCGCAGAACTTTCAAAAATATGAACTTATTCTTCATTTTACTTCCAAATGATGTAACGTTGCCAGTGCACTTAATGCGCTAATAACTTGCGTTAAGGAAACTTTAAACCAAATTTTACCACACAGATGTAGATTTAGCTTTGTTTAATAACCTAAGGCTGAAAATCTTAGATCTTTGTTGTATCTTTGTGGCCATTTCATCTAAACTAAATAAAAACTTCGTGCGAATGTAACGTTACCAGCCGTAGAATTGGCCATATGTAGTAGCGAACAGATAATTTACAAATATGTATACATGTTTTCAGAAAAAAACTTAATTTATGGTATACTATGAAAAATTATCCATGTGCTATGTTTTTGTTGACTCCACTTTTTTAGATTCATCGGGAGTATTTCCTTTAAGCTTCGTCGGGTGAACATAACTTACGCCAGCAAGGTTCCTTGCATATGGTGGGACACCATTAGTTTGCAAGTAATAGTCACCTGAAATGCTACAAATAAAAGTAGGTTATATGTCAAACATGTCGATATAGAGAAAATAACAACAAGAGCATACATACTCCGTAGGACAATCATGGCCCATGATAACCCTGTAATCCTCGTTATCTATAAATTTGCCATTTTTGAAATCTGCCCAATTTTTCACTTTAACTGCGTAGAATTTTTCTGGAAATTCCTTTTTAACACTTTCAGCCCAAAACCACCATGATCGGCGATGACTGCACAAATCTATAAATATAGCGAGGGGAAAGAGAAAATGTACATATATTCAATATTTGAATTATTAATGAAGGAAACATATTTTTGTAGAGCTCTTAAGAGAGATATTGATTTAGGATAAGCGAAGATGATTTCAGGTTGTATGGGTTCTATTTAAAACGGATAAAAGAATGACAATGCTTAAAAAGACCAAACAAGTATATTTAAATCACAGTGTACCACTTTTTAAAAATTTAACAATAACGTTTAAACTTAGAGAAAAAAACGGCTAAAAACGGCTAAAATGTTGCAGCTAAAATTAACATGTTTTATTTGAATTAAGTAGAAAGACTAATAAATCCATTAAACTATTTTTAGTTAACAAAGGAAACTTCGTTATACTTGATTAATTAAAGCTCTACATCAGAAGTCAAGTTTTATTACTTACATATGTATATACTAGCTTATACCCGCGGGTTTCACCCCTTTTCGTTATAGCTCGTTATTTTTTAAGCGAGTTAAGGTATTTAGGCCGTTTAAAACTATGAAATTATAAAATCTCGTCTGCGCGCTAGGTATACGAAAGATATCAATCCCTCTAAGTTTACCTTAAAATGGTTCCAGGTATACGACGCGTGAACGTGTAACCTTCTTGGAGGTGCCACGGCGGGTTCTAATATTTCCAACTCAAATTTAGTAACCTGGCCTTGATAAAATACCACTTCTCATTACTGTAGCAAATGCCTCAAGAGAGCTTTAGATTATGAGGCCGAACCCGGCTCTCCCTTTTCCATTTAATGAAATTTATTGTGTCAGTACGGCACTTATAAAATAAATCTCCATATCAAATTTAAAATACCTCGAGAGATTCTCTATCCTTCCAGAGATATGTATTAAGAAGTTTTTAGTATGTATGGGAGGCGACATGCCTCCTTTTTTAATAACTCACATTTTTTCCAAGAGCAATTGATACATTGTGTATACACAACTCCATACCAAGTTCCAGTATTCTTCCACAAACACTTCCAGGGATATGTGGCAAGAAAAAGTAAATTTGTATTGGAAGTACCACGCCCCTTTTTCTTATAACCCTAATCTTCCATGAATTTAGAATTGATTTTACATACCCCAGTACCAAGTCCCAGTACTCTACCATGAACACCTCTAGAGATAAGCAGTATAAAACAGTAAATTTGTACGGGAGGAACCATGTCCCCTTTTCGAATAACGCAAATTTTTCTCCTTGAGTATGGAATTTATTTTGTGTACACATCTCGGTGCCAAGTTCCAGTCCTCTGCAATAAACACCTCCAGAGATATGCAGCATAGAACAATCAATTTGCATGGGAGTTGCCACACCACCTTTTCCAATAACTCTCATTTTTCTCCATGAGTATGGTATTAGTTTCACATACATACATACATATGTATTTCCATACCAAGCTTGAGTGCTTTACCCCAAACATGTGAAGAGATATGCAATATGAAACTTTCAGTTAGTATGGGAGGTGCTACGCCTCTTTTCCAAAAACGGCCATTTTTCTCCGTGAATATGAACATGATTTCACACAGTATTGGCAAACTGTTAATCTGATTAACGATTAAAAATTAACGATTAAAATGTTAATCGCATTTGACGATTAAAATTAATTAGTGGTAATCAACTGTACGATTAATGATAACATTTTTTTAATGGTTAATCGCTGGCTGCGATTACGTTTAATTAATTTAAAACATTAATCGTTAATCCAATTAAAAATAAAATCTGATTAATTTGTCTAGTTTGTCCGAGTTTGAAACCAAACACGAGTTATAGTAATTATTTTGTGTGTTAACGCTTATAAAAAGCACGTAATATAAAAAAATTATAATTATTGTTATTAGTAATACCTAAACTGGGAACTTTTACAAACCTACTTTGTAAAACGTTTGTTGGTATATATCTTAATGAAAATGCACACCAAATTGCTTAGATTGATGAGGAAACCCGACTTAGCCATACCGGGTTAACTTGCTTTGTGTGCACAGGGAAATTCCAGCATAACTTAATTAATCACCAAACCTGCTTGATCAAATTAAGAAAAAAATTAATTTTTTAATCGCGGTTACGATTAACTGTTTAGTCAGATTAAAATTAATCATGATTAATTGTAATCAGATTGATTTTAATCGAATTAACTAACTGATTAAAACATCAATCGATTAATGCCATCATTGATTTCACATACATATCACTATACCAAGTTTCAGTTCTCTCCCACTAATACTTTCAGAGATATGTATGTAATATGAAAATTCCAATTTGTATGGGAGGGGCCTTGAGTTATCGGACTTATTTTCAGTCTAAGACCATCTTTCCGAAATCCGTAGTAAGTGTACTAAATTTCGTTCTGATCGGAAAACCGGTTAAGGAATGAAATAATAATAATAATGAAACTTTTTAATAGGTGGCAACTCTTAAGAAAATTAGCCTATTTTCCAATCTAGGCCATAAGCTATCTTTGTGCAAATTTTCATGCAAATCCATTCAGTCGTTCCCGCATATTAAATAAATTAAACTTTTTAACAGGTGGCAACTCTTAAAAAAATAATAGCCTATTAACCAATCTGGGCCATAAGCTATCCGCGTACAAAATTTCATGCAAATCCGTTCGGTCGTTTCCGCGTGATGATTTCCGAAACATCCAAACATACAAACTTTCACATTTATAATATTAGTAAGATAAAAAATAGATCCATTACAAGCTTAGGCGTTGTTTTCTATTGAAAAATTTTGCCTTATATTGTAACATTTGCACTAGGTTACTTTTCGTCCTGCAAAATGGCTATATTAGTAGGAAGTATTGCACTTTTGCTTGGAGGGCAATATTTTGTTAAATGAACACGTAAATCTGTGAAAGGGCTGAGGAAAATAGGGCAACATTATTTCGAGAAAAAAAGCCAGTAATTTATATTGAACAAGCCGGTCAGTTTTTAAGTTTTTAACAATTAAACTATGTAATTTTATTTTGATATCCATATATTCGAAGCGTTCCCGTTTTTAAAGACCTGTTCATTCTCTGCACATGCCTGTTAGAGCAACACTAAAGGATATTAGCACAACGATACAATTATTCATAGATATTGTGTTCCCAGAGAATTTTGATGCACATGGAAATTCTCTTTTGGGTAACGTAGCCAGTGCCTAAATTGTCCTTAAAATACATTAAAAACCGTAAAATTTTTGTTGACGCATTATGTACTTACCTTGCATTATGTATTTACCTTGCGGCAT